ACTCGGACTACAGGGCCAAGCTGTCTCAGATCAGGCAGATCTACCACACGGAGCTGGAGAAGTACGAGCAGGTAACCGCCTCCAGGAGGGGTCGCGGCCCCGGGGCGGGGGACTGGCGTGCACCAGGCCGGCCTCAGAGCCCCTCGCTGGACTGCAGCCCCCTGGCCCGTGGCGTCCGGTCCGGAAGATCAGGCGAGGCGGAGATCGAGGCATTTACGTGATGGAGGAAGGCATAAACGGTGATGCCGGGCGATGATGCCGGGCGATGATGCCAGGTGACATCAGCGGTCGATCTGGGGCCACGCGGTACGCGGCACCCAGGCACAGCGGCCACGGCGCACAGCCCGGGCTGGCTGGGGCCTCGCTGCTGCTGTGACTCCTCATTCGCTCCCCCTCTGGGGGGCGCCTCATCCTCCAGCTGCTTCTGGGACCCCGTGGGGAGGGACGCTGGGACAGAGCTCGGCCGTGACGCCCTGGCCCCACCCAGACTCAGCAGCCGAGGGCGGGACACGGCCTCGTTTGCGTCGCGTGTGGGGGTCAGGATGGCACGAACCTCCCTCCAAAAGAACAGAGGGTCTCAGTGGACCCTCGAAGTCAGACCGAGCTGGGCTCCAGTCCTGACACTCTACGGACGGCCTGTGGGACCCGGCGTTCCACATACGCTGCCCCAGAAGCTGCGGGTTCATGGCACGAGCTACGATGTGGAGGCGAGGGCATCACGGGGCCCTGAAACCACGGAGGAGACGAGGAAGGCTTCAGGTTACAGGGCAGTTTGTGCGCGTGAGGCGTCCCAGCCTCTGGACGGAAGCGGCCCGGAAGCCCCCGGCGGACTCCCCCCCACCGTGTCGCTAGGTTTCTCTGCTACGAGCCCCAGAAAGGGAGGGAGAGGGCGCAGGGGGGCCCCACGCCCACTTACGGCGCTCTCGGTACAGGCCAATGCAAACCTAATAGGAAATTTAAATTTTAAAATAGAAATAGGCATTTTAAAATTTAAAGCGAAGAACGTTTCATTATTGTACTCCCATCTACCTCTAAAATGGATTTCTAAAAAGTCCCTTTTTTGAGGAGAAAAAAAATCGTGTGACGCTTGCGGGCCCGGCACGCGAAGTCCAGCCGCCAGCCGGGGCGGTGGGGCCGGCGGGAGGAGCGTGAGGGCGGCCGGCGCGGGGACCTGTGCGTCACCTGCGTGGCATCGCCCCTCGTCTTCTTGGGGAAGAGCCACCACTCTGGCTCCGCACCGGCTCACGGAGTCGTTTACCCAGAGCCCAGGAGGTGCCGAGCTCAGAGGTCCCCGCCGGGGCCGTCGTGTTGGGGCCCTGTGTCTGCCCTAAGCGGCGGGATGACTCGGGAAGAAGGACGGGGTTGTCTCCCACACAGGCCCCAGGTGGCCGCTCGAGTTCCTCCCCCTTCACCACCAAGCCTGGCCTCTGACCCGGCCACTCATGCCGGGGGCACAGGGAGAGCCCCGAGTGTGGCCTCCCTCACGAACCCCCCAACAGGAACGGATGTCCGGCTGGAAGGTGTTGAAACCTGGCTTCATTCTGAGCTCAGGTTGCCCGTGACACAGAGGAGCTGCTCGCTTTCCCGGCTGAAAGCCCCTGTCACTCCTGTGCCTCATCCCAAACCCGGAGAGCGCTGCGTGTTACGCGCTTGTTCCTCAGGGTAGGCGTGTGGCTGGGTCCCCTGGACGGGCGCCGCCATCACCTCCGCTTCCGGACAGGTGAGGGGGTGGAGGTCAGAGAGGTCAGGTGACACGCCTGGGTCACACATCCGCCAGGGGACAGAGGTGGCCCTGGAATTCAGTCTCTGACCCTTAGCCCAGGGGCCTTTGCTAAATGCCACGTTAGAGGGAGAGAGTGTGCTCCCGTGGGCACGGACGAGGCCAGCGTGTCCCTCCTTACTTCCGGGAACGGCTTGCCAGTGCCTAAGAGAGACTAGAGATGAAATTTGTTCTCCAGAAGCTTCTCATGCATCGGCCTGTTCAAAATAATAAAGACTGGAAACTGGGCCCTTGGGGAAGTGCTCGTCACACAGCAGGTGACGCACGTGTCTCCCAAAGCGCTGAGGGTCGCGTCCTTGTGTGCGCGGGCACTTTCGGTGACAGCAGGCTCTGCGTAACACCGCCGGGCACCTGGTCACCACCGCCCAGCGCCGGTCGTACAGTCCTGCGGGGAGGGAAGCTGAGGCCTGGAGAAGTGTGCCCAGCCGTCACAGGCTGGGCTTCCAGGTCGTCTCTGTTTGAAGGGATGAGGACACACGCGGTATGGCCAGACACACACGCAGTGATTCGCTGAGCGCATTCCACGCCCGCTGGGGTGGGCGTCACCCGCATTTCACAGACAGGGAGGACAGGGCACAGAGGTGATGGGTGGCTTCCGGGGTCCCACAGCTCAGTGAGTCCGGGAGGCGCTGTGCCCTTTCTCGGCCCACCCGGCCGTGCTCACGCAAGGGGCTCACACGAGGGGCTCACGCCATCCCCAGGCCGTCCCCAGGCCGTCCCCAGGCTGCCGTGCAGAGCGTGGATCTGCCCTACTGAGGGGTGGGAACACCGACATCCCGTCTCTGAGTCCTGAGGGGCTTTGCCCAGACCCTCGCGGTGACAGCTCAGAAACCAGCCTCCCAGTCCTCAGTGTAGACAGCCCCTGGACGCGTCCGCCTGTGGATCACAGGGCCCTTAAGGAACGGACAGTCGATGTCTCGTGTGACTGCGTTTCCGGCGAGCAGGAGGGCTCGTGCCACGGAGGTGGCAGAGCCGCATCGTCGCAGTGCCGCTGCAGTGAGGTGGCACGCGCTGAGCCCTCAGCGCGCAGACCCTCGAGCAGCACCTCCTACGGTTTGCAGAGTCGCTGCGAGGGACCCCATCGAGGGATGAGGCTAAAAGTAGAAGGTGCCTATCGAGTGCTCCGCGGAGCGAGCCGCTGCCGATGCCGATAACGGAAAAACAAAAGGGCCGCGTGCTCAGGGCCGGCCGCCGGGCCGGGCCAGGGGTTGGACCTCTGGGGCAGGAGGGCTCAGGCCCCGCCTCGTGCGGCCCCTTGCTGTGCGGCCCAGGGAAAGGCCTCGCCTCTCCGGCCGCAATTTCCCCAGCTGTAGGTAAGGGGTGAGGGGTGAGGGGCAGTGACCCCGCCTCACTTCCGGGGCCACTGGCACCCTGGCCTGCACCCCGAGCCTGTTCCGGCGTCCTCCGAGTCCCGTGCTGCTGCTGCGTCTGCGAGGCCTCTGGGGACGGGTCCCTTCGTGGCACGGGTGCAGCGGGTGTTCGGGAGGCCAGCATAGGGGGCAGCAGAAGTGGGAGGCGTGGGCGCGCGAGCCTTCGGCACCACGATGCCCCTCTCGGCTGCGCGTGCGCCCCCAGCACGGAATGCTTACTGCAGCCCTCACGCCAGAGCTGATGGACGAGGCGGGCAGTTTGACCCCGGACGCTCTTTGGCTGTGACTATTGGGGTCAAAGGTCATGAAATGTGTTTTATACTGTAATTCATGCTCTTGCGTTTCACAGTAGTAAAATCATGAAAAAAGAATGATTAAGGACTTTTTCCCCTTAAAAAAAATGTACATTATGCCCCCAAATTAGAGTCCGGTGGGCCGGAGGGGGTCCCCAGGCATCGTTCTGTGCCTCCGGTTCGGCCGGCCTTGACCGGGGGGGCCGGTGTCCGCGGGCCCCGCTCACCCTGCTGCTGTTCCAGGCCTGCAACGAGTTCACCACCCACGTGATGAACCTCCTGCGGGAGCAGAGCCGGACCCGGCCCATCTCCCCGAAGGAGATCGAGCGCATGGTCAGCATCATCCACCGCAAGTTCAGCTCCATCCAGATGCAGCTGAAGCAGAGCACCTGCGAGGCCGTCATGATCCTGCGCTCCCGCTTCCTGGACGCACGGTGAGTCCGCAGCCGCCCTCCGGGCCTGCGTGGTCCCCCAAGGCCCCCCACTGTTAGCCGGGGTGGGGGAGGGGCAGGGGTTCCGAGGAAGGTTCAGGCCGCAGGTCAGTGACAGGGCCGGGAGGCGGGGTAGCCTCCGGCTTCCTGGGGCTGCGGAGGGCGGCTCGTGTCCAGGTGCCTGGAGAGCGCAGCCACATCGACCGGAGAGGCGAGACTCCGGTCCTCGTGCTGGGGCCTCCTTCCTGGGCGCGAGCCGTCGCTGTGGGCGCGCAGGCCGGCTGCCACAGGCTGGGACACACGTTCTCCAGGAAAGACGGCTCGGCCTGGAGCCGGCATCTTCCCCACCCCATGCACAGCCGGGGGGCCCTCGGGTCACGTGCACAGACTCCTAGGTCGGTCGCCACGTGCCACACGCTGGGCTGTTTTGAGAGTGTGGAGAGGAGCGAGGCGTGGTACCCAGGGCGGAGGGGCCTGGCTGGTGGGACGGGGCCCAACTCTCCCTCAAGGTCGGGTGTCTTCTACCTGGCATTGCCGCCGTCACCTTGCTGTTCAAAGCATTCGGCTGAAACCACGGGTCGAAAAGAAAGGTCCTTGAGGACAAAGGTTGAGACCAGAGGACAAGCCGTTGGCGCGTGGTCGCCCTGCTCTTGGGACCAAAGGTCGACGCAAACCCCACTCATCCCCTTGGCTTTCGGTGTCCAGCCAGTAGGTCGGTGACAGTCAGGCCCCGTCTGCTCTGGAGAGTATGGTAGTAGCCGGTCTAGAAACATCTTTCCGAGTGTGGCCCACTGTTCGTCTTGAATGGGCCATCTTCTACCAACGCGCGTTTCGTGTCTCATTATTTCAGTTTCCAGGTTTATTGTTGAAGCGTTAGACTGGTCAGGGCCGCCTGCCGCTTCATGATCGTAGCTTTCGTCCCCGATCATCAGACGGAGGTGGCCGCTGTGTCGATCACGCAGTTTTCAGCTGGCTCACCTGTGTTTTCCCCTCTGCCCGCACATGTGCTCCTGATGGTCACAGAGCCCCCCGGTCCCTCTCACTCGTGCATTTGGGGCCCGTGGAACCTGGCGTAGAAGGCCGGGTAGCGGTGACCTCGGGCCAGTGGACCCCCGCAGACGCCATCAAGAGGAAGTGAAAACGAAGGTGGCCTTTCCCAGCTGAACGGGGGCAGCAGTCACCCTGCGGCGGGCCCCCTGTGCATGTCGGCCCCCGCTGCCAGCCTGGGTTCTTTAAAGCAGCCCATTCCACGCGGCAGCAGGGACGGTGGCCTCTGTCTGGGCCCCTCCTCGCGCGCAGCTGCCGCCACTCTGCATGTCACTTCCGTCCCCATGGCGACTCCCTCGTTAAAATGCTGGGAGCGGGTGTTCATGTTGCCAGATAGAGAGACAAAGGAAAGTTGGACCCAGACTGAGTTCTTTACAAGAAAGAGGTTGCGGGGGGAGTATGAGGGGACCAGGATCGTTGTCCCGCAGGGCTGCCGCTGCCTGAACTCTGCTGTGCCCGGCGCAAGGCCAGAGTCTAGAGGACTCGGCCCCCTTCGCTCCCGCCAGCCTTTGCCGGGACTGTCCCAGTCGGCGCCACTTCAGGAGAGGGGTTCTTGCTGTTCTGCTGCCAGCTTTGAATCATTGCCTCGGAGCCGAAGTTCAGAGCGAGAACAAGACCCTATTGTCCCTGTCCTTCGCGTTTACTCTGAGCGTATTTGGTATCAGGGAAAGGACATGACCCCAGATGCCGGCCCAGGGACGGGCCAAGGGCTTTCTCAGCTCAGAAGTCAATGTTTGCCCAGAGCTCCTGACTGTGACGTAGTGAGGCCCAGCGCTGAAATGGGGGGCGCTGGCCGGACGAACCTTGGCGAGGAGGTCACACCCGCGGCTCCAAACCACGCCTCCGACGGGCGGGGCCTCACCAGTCAGTGCCGCAGACAGCGCAACGCCGGGGCCTTGGTCTGGCCACAGGACCTGTCCTCGTCTGTCCTCGTAACGTCACCAGGTGCGAGGAACCGGATGCCGCGCTCCCTTGTGCGACACGCCCCGCGTTGGTTTTCTGTCACCCGCCCCCCAACAGGCGAGCTGAGGCCCAGGATCTTCTTCCAGGGCCGTGCCTGCCGCCAGCAGAATTCAGTCCCTGTGACAGTGGGCCCGAGGCCCTGGCCCCGGCCGCCGCCCTCTGCGGGGCGGCCTGCGGCTCGGCCGCTCACAGGAGAATCTCGCCGGTGGAAGCTTGAGCCTCGCCCGCTCAGGTCCCATCCTTTCCCTCACCTTGACTTATCTGTGCTGGAAGAGTGTAACTTAAAACTCCGTGCATTCATTCACTCATTCACTCATTCACTCGACATTTGTCATCGCATGCCGTGTGCCCAGCCTGTGCTGTGACCAGAGCAGATTTGTCATCAGGATTATAAGTATGTTTTTTAGCTAAAAGGGGAAGAACTTATAAACCCTCGTAAAGATCGTCTAGCGACAGTTCTGACTTTTTTCCCGTTACCTTTTGCTGGAGGTAACAGGAAGGACGTAAACGGACGGTTGGACGTGCACAGCTGCACGCCCCCGATGGAGGGGGTCCCAGGAGAGGACACGGCGAGGAGGGAAGGACAGCCAGGGCGTCCGGTCACGCCTCGCTCTCTGCCGGGTGCTGCGTGAGCCACTGAGGCGATGAAGACGGGAAGAGGGAGCCGGATGAGCGTGGGCCTGGCCTCCGGGAGGTCGCCACTCACGGGACGGACAGCGTCTCCTACAGCTAAGCGCGAAGCCGCACACGAAGACGCGGAGCACGCGGACCAGCCCCGCCAGGCGGGGTCGGGGGAGGGCGGGCCGCGCGGTGGCCGCCATGCAGGAGCGACGAGACGCCGGAGGACAGCGCAGCCCCGCCCGCTCCGTGCCGGCTCCGGGGTGAAGCGTGGCTCCCGAGCCCGTGGCCTTGGGCCAGTGTGGGGGAGGGAGAAGCACGGGGCAGAGAAGAGGTGCAGGGCATGGCGGGGTGGCTTCGGGGCGTGCAGGAGCCTGTGACGTGGCCGGAGGAAGCTGTGTAGAGCGTGCGTGACGCGGCGGGACGGACGTCGGGGGCAGGGCAGACCCACCGCGAAGCCCTCGCTGTGCCCGCGAGTGTCGCGTCTGCCCCCTTACGAGGCGGACACCGTCCATGCAGCCGGAGGAGGGAATGTGGTAGTTTACGTTCTGAAGTGCACCATCTGGATTCAAGCTCCAGCAAGCACTACCCTCGTGACTCTGGGCGAGCGGCTTATCCCACCTAAGACTCAGCTTTCACGTCTGTAAAACTGGGATCATTTCGTGCACAGGGACAATAAGGTCGTGTGGGAGAGAAACTTAGAGCATCACATAAGTCAGCTGTAAATACGGTGAGGATCACTACGCTACATGCTATTAGACAGGTCGTGATGATCGTGATGATGGTTATCATTCGGGACGCGGTCGGATCCCCGGTCCAGGGGCTCGGTCTAGGGCTTCTCTCAGAGATGGAGAAATGGAGGGAGACCAGGGCTGGGGCCACCGCTGACACCTGTGCCCCTCACATGTGGGGGAGCACAGAGGAAGCATGAACGACCGCCCATCCGCCTGCACTCGGAGGAGATATTCTTATTTTGAGGCGCACGTCGGTGTAGCGTGGACTAGACTGGCAGGACGCTGCAGAGCACCCCGCGTGCTTGACGGCGCAGCCCAGGCTGGCGGTCTGCTCACGCACACTCTTGGGAGGCGTCAGCCCAGAGCAGCACAGCAGTATGTGGCACTGGGCTGCTGATGTTTTGTTAATTAAAATAAAATAAAAATAAATCACATTTTAAACTGAGCTCTCTGCTCGCACCGGCCACACTTCCGCTGCTCAGTGGCCACGTGCAGCCAGCGGCAGCGCTGGCCAGACCAGGACGTGGTGGGCAGTGGCTTTTCTAAACCCATTTCAAAAATAACAGTGACAGAAAGGATGGGACCAAAGAGACGGCTTTGAAAGACCGGGGCTGGCGGGACTCGCCCGGGGCGACAGCGAGGCGGCAGGCGGAGGCGGGAACCCCTCCCAGCCTCTGGCCTGTGCTGGGAACTCAGACGTGTGAACGAATGAACGAACACGTGAACGAACAAATCAGCAAGCACAACGAACCTCGCCCTGGCGATGTCATTATGTAAGTGGGTGACAGAAAATGGAGCCGTTTGGGGTGAAGGCGAGACTAGTTCAGGAGACACGGAGTCTCTCTCAAGGGCCGGGAGCGAGCGGCGGTCAGCGGGGCAGCGTGTCTTGGGAGAGGCTCAGGGCAGGGACAGCACCTTTGGTGGTTAGCAACCCGTGTCCGTGGTCACACTTCCCACTCTCAGCTCATTCTGATTCCAGAGATTTCGTCCCTAAAATGCTCCATTTATCCAGTAATCCAGTAATACGTAATCGGTTTCCGCAACCTAGACAAGCGACCCTACAAGCTCTCGATTGGCCCGAAATCTCAAATGTTCACTCACCCTGCTGATTACACCTCAAGCCAAAGCGAAGAAACCAGGTGTCTTAGTTTCACAAGGTTTCTTGAAATTCTGAAAAATTGTAGAGATTGCACACGGAGACTGAGACGGCCGCAGGAAGAGGTGATGAGCAGAGGGGCAGGACCGCCGAGGGGAGTCTGCACAGCGCGGGGACAGAGTGGACAGCTGCCCGCAGCGCCCCACGCCACCCGCATCCCCCCGCCCCGCGTTCCGGAGGCTGCTCCGAACTCAGCCGGAAGACTCCCAGAATACACCGTGATGCTAACACGAACAACTCAGGGCGCGAGCCAGGTCTCCCAGTTAGGGAGCAACCGGGGCCCCGGTCCCCAGGCCCCAAACAACTGTCTTCCTTAGGCCACGGAGAAGACGGAGGTCATGGGGAGGCTGCGGTAACCATTGGCTGCCCCCCCAAATTCCCACGGGGCAAGAGCTCTTCACACACGCCGACTTCCGAGCTGGGCATTTTCATCCAATCTGCCCAGTTCCTGGTGCTGGGTGACCCAGAAATTCAGCACGATTGGGGAGAGCAACTTGGGCTTGGCATGATCTGGACAGATGTGGCTCATACCTGCGGACAGATGGTGTTCATCCGGTAAAGTCAGGCACTTCATTGTGTTAATTAGTCCGAGTGGGACCCCGAAAACACAATATTAGCTGAATTTCCTGTCTAGCAAGGTGATCAGTGCTTTCTGTCGGCTGAACTGGGAAATTCCACTTCCTGGCATAACCAGGAATGTTCTGGAAGTCTTTTCCGTACGGAGAAGCTTTTGATAAAAGCAAGAAAGATAACCGTGCTGATAGAGCTCATCTAAGGAAGGGGCCCCACTTCCTGGGGGCCGGGGACCAGCGCCCACCGTGAGCCTGGGTCCCAGCCACTCCCTGCTCCCCACTGGCCTTCGTGGGGGTTCTTACCCTAAATCGGCTCCATTGGCACGTTTTTAAAGGCAGGAAAGCGCCTTGATTCAGAGTGGCCTCCTTCCTTCCAGCCCTGCATGTGCAGACATCCGAGCTTCTGGTTCACCACTCAGCAGCGGTCCCAGCGCAGAAGGCGTCCCGCGTCTCCTTTGGAGGGGATCAAGGGTCGGGGGTCATTTCAGTCTGCTCCGGGCTCTCTTCCCAGCCGCCTTCGAAGAAGCATGCGGGTTCCTGGGGATAGAACAGAGGGGACCGTAACTCGTTTCAGCTGAGGGCTGCCGAGTCCCCTCAGCATCGCCGGGAGGCCGTGGGTGTGGCTGGGTCACGGTCAGGTGGACGGGCGCTGGTGTCTCGGCTGTGCCACGGACCAGCTGAGCGCCCTTCGGACTCTGTCCTCTGTTGGGAAATGGGAGTAACCACCTCTACCTCACTAGTCGTGAAAAATGGGCCGACTGCCCTGAGGTCGTAAGGCCCAGCGCCTGGGACCTGGCAGGAAGGAGCTCTGTCCCCGCCCTGTCCTGCCCGGCCCGTGAGCGGGCACTGTGCGGAGGCCCGGCTCCGCGTGGCCCCGTCCCCCACACGTGCCCATGAGGCCCGCGCGGCTCTCCCACGTGCGGGTGGAGAGGCTGAGGCTCGGGGCGGCTTCTCGCATTTCCCGGCCTCTGTGCACTTGATCCAGGATTCAAAGCCAAGACGGTTGACCTTGCGCACTCCGCGGTCGCCAGCGCGGTGGGTAACTGTTCGCGGCCCTCCGGCTGGGCGCCGCGCAGTGTCTAAGGACTGCACGCAGGGAACGTGGGCGCCCCG